CTCGGACGTCACATTGTGTCCGTTTTGCCCTCTCACGTCACATCGAGTGATGATTCTGATTGTGCAGCCCCAGCTATGTAATACCGCATAATGTGTTCACGTGAGCGTTACAGTAACAAAAAAGTGTGTAGGCAGAAAGTTCTGAACAATAAGACGAACAGAAATACACGAGTGTAGCGCTGCGCCTAGTGGTGCTTTTAGCCGAGCCACAAAACTTGTCAAATGTGTGACGCACAAAGCCCCGTGGGAGGGTGCACTTTATGAAGCGTGCTCTAAAAAAAACCTTATGTAAGGAAAACTTGGAAAGCTGGCTGCTATCTATAGCCTTTCTAAATAAGCAATTACCTCCAGCTCAGAACCACGTCAGCACTAAGAAAAGAAAATTACGTATGCGCGACACAACGTAGCCTATCTATCGTTAAAAATAGCGGACACTTGTTTTTCTTACCTTACAAATGTTTGAAGTGAAGCAAAACGCGAAAAGTTGAATTATATAAGAGAGGCAAAAATAGCACAAGGCCTAAAAGGGGAGCTTACCGCACCACTCTAGAATCAATTACATACGAGCAGCATGTAGCACGTAGCTATTTGTATGCGATGTTAGCAATGTTTGCCAGAGATGTAGGTAGTTGTAATATAAGAGAAAAATAAACTAACGAACTTGCATTAGGAACCGAGCCTAGCCTTGGTAATAAGTCGTAAATATTCAGGAAAAGTAGAACGGCCTAATTTCAATATACAGGGTGTCCCATAAGTTCGTTCTCACCTTTTATTTGCATGTAAAACATAGTACATTGCGTTTTGATATGTTTATAACCCCTCAATGTGCTCCCCATTTCATAGGCAAACACATGAATACATGCTGCGACATGCCAACCGGCATGTTTGGCAGCATAGCAGACTTGAAGTTAGCCCAGACGGACTTGGCATGCGCCGTGAGCTCCTCAATGCTGGAACACCGCTTCTCTTCGACGAGCCTCGATTTCAATATTCCCAACACATTTTTATGAAATTTGGATCCGATGAGTTGCCTGGGATGTGATCTTGCCACACACGCCTATCACAGTCTCCTGGCACTGCTTTTATGCTTTGCTTGACCTCTGCACTGATGCACTGTCTTGCTTGAAGATGGGCCTACGACCTCCCGGATGCCATTTTCTACTAAAAAAATGTGGTCATACTTGCGGTTCAAGTTAAGCTAGAAAGCTGAAACTCCTCCTAGATCTTCTTGGAGAAGCGTTCTGCGTCCCAAGACTGTTCCTGGAGCATCATTCGCAACGTGATCAGTGTCTGGACGCATATTACCCCACATTACCGTGACCCTGGCCTTTTGCATAGGAATAAAGCTGGATGATACAAAGGCCTTTTCCGTCGCCCATATGGGACCGTTTTGGGGTTTGGACGGGTGTTTTATCTCGAGCACGGACTAGGTAGTCCAGATGACCACATTGATGTCATCGACCCTCCAGTTTTTTTAGCCTCAGGCATAACGAAACACATGTTTGGCCATTTTAAGACGTTTTTGACTGTTTTGAGCCCTCCGGTAAGTAGAGCTTAAGTCACCTTGAGTTAGGTACCCCGAAATGATACTCTTAGACAGCTGGTTATACATCCTGGAAAGCCTGTTTACCAACTTTCTAACGCTAAGACCTTTTTACGGCCATTTTGGCGCCACACAGTTTTGGCCACATGGCTCACTCGTGAAAGCTGACAAAAAAAGAGCATAAACTTGCAGCGATTGACTCCCGACTAATCATCGGCGTCACTTGTTGACTGTGCGTCCAGTTAGCGACAGACATTGGCTACATACTGGATGGCCTCAATCACCCTCAACCGTCGTGAATGGCCCAGTGCGGTCTAAATACCGAGACGTTCCCGTATCAGAGACCTCTATGTTGCGGCGTAAGCCGTCTCCAAAGGAAGTGAACTCTCTGGCAAAAAATATTTTGTCTAGACGAATTAGTTACCGTGGAGCACATTCACAGTTGCCATGGCAACCCCAAAAGCTCAGTTTCAAAATAAATTAAGCGTGGCTTTAAATAAGAGAGCCTCTTAAAAAAAAAATTAGGTGAGAAGGAACTTATGGGACACCCTGTAAACAGTTTTCATTATATGCTTTGAATAAAACGCCCGGGAAGAAAGGTATCATGCATTCAGACCCAGGAAGAATGTAATAAGCGAAGGTCGTTTGGATGATTTGCGTCCTTATTGCCACTGGGCGAGTTGTGCTAAATTAGCGGCACACTAATCAGCATAAATTGTTGACTGGTTGAAACGTTAATTTTCACTTCAGTTTGTTATAACGATGCAATTATGCGCCTGCAGTGTACTGGACCAAGCTAAATCATAAGACGTAGCCTACTGCTCATTCACCAGGAGTCTGAGGAATGAGAATGAAAAGCTAGGCGACCTTCACAGTAATTCAGTGTAAACGGCCACAGATGCTATTTACAAAAGGAAGCTGTCGCCAGCTCCACGTCTTGAGCATGTTTTAAAATATACCTGGCACATCACCCACACTCGACAAGCGCCAAAAAGAGGCCATCCACTGCGGTCTTATGACACATTATAGAACACACCTAATTCCATTTCGCATGCCATTTCCAGATAACGGACCCATGCAACAGCGATAAACAACTTGCCACAGATAAATGATGAATCAAACATAACTGGTAAATGAAAAACAACGGAGAACACACAACATCATTACGGAGCGAGCGAAGCGAGCGGAGTCTTACGTAGAATAACGGAAATTTTTGAGTATGAGCGGCCGGCCAGCCGGCCGGCCGGCCGGCCGGCCGTGGTCACGCTTTTGCGAGGCTTATATCTCAGCAACCACTTGACCGATTTACATGCGGTAATTTTTGTGGGGTAGCTTCATTCCTTCTACCAAGTATTGGACTATTCCCGATGCATGTGGGTGACCCCTTATGCACGTGCCACGTGCAAAACGAAGAGGTGTCACTTTTGTAATTGTTGCAATATCTCGGTAACTACTTGGCCGATTGCGCTGAAAGTTGGCATGTAGGTAGGCACCCACTAGGCACTGCATATCCATGTGCCAGAGTTGGGGTGCTGCTGCACGTGCGCACGTGCAGGGGTCGTTTCCAGATCTCGAGAACGGCTGGACCGATGACGCTCAAATTTGGTACATGGTTAGGGACCGGTTAGTAGGGTGCCGTGCAAAAGTCAGTTCGGACCCATTTTGCACGTGCGCACGTGCAGGGTGCCGCTTCCAGATCTCGAGAACGGCTGTGCCGATTGTGCTCAAATTTGGCACATCGCTAGAGACCGGTTAGTAGGGTGCCGTGCACAAGTCAGCTGGAGGTACCCCCTCGAAATTTCGCACGTGCAAGGCTCGCCCTCTCGCTCGCTCCGTTAGTCGCCCCAAAAGGCGCTATACTGGTGTTATCCATGCGTGTTGACACATGACACTGCAATAAATAAAAACACATGTGTTTGGTGGTTATTAACCCTCGCCCGCACATGCCATTTTCCCATCCTAGAACGCACATGGGGGGTGGGGGTGGTTGCCACCCCCCCGCGCCATTTCGTTCCTGTTGGAGATAGAGCTTAGCGGTAAAGACCAAAAAGATTATTTGGGAAGAGACGAATCCAATGATACCCAGTTTTACCTTCTCAGGTCAGTCGTTGACCTTCCAGGTCAGGTCAAACTAAAAAATGTTGCTGTTTTGGGTCACCGTTGGATATCAAGTGCGCTGCTTATCATATACCGATGACGATGCCGTTTTCTGGTGCCAAGCCAGCTAGAACCTCTTTGTCACACTATCCGACCAGGTTTTTGCTGCTGAGGTCATTTCAGGTCAAGTTAGGTCAAGGTCAATGATATGTGTTTGTATGTCTGTGTGTATACTGATGTGTGCACCGATTGTTTATGTGTCTATATTACATGAAATCATGATCTGAGAAGCTTTTACCAAAAATGCAGACAAAAAAAAATCACAAAAAGTAAATTCCGCTTGCCTAAAACGCAATTATCTTAGATGACCTAGGTTGACCTTGACCCTGACCTTGACATCTGTACATCGTCGAACAACATGTTCCATGATAGGTGGGAGGTAAGACTGGCAAAAAAGGCCGAAATCAAGGTGTCAAAAGCTCACAAGGCCCATGGCCAACGCAAGATGTTGAGAATTGGCCATTTGGGTCATGACATGACCTGAAAAACAAGGTCATATCTCCGAAACCAAAAATCACAGAAACTTGAAATTTTCAGTGGACATCAAGAAATGATAGAGGAGCAGCTATACGAAAAATCAGCCTTCTAGCTCTAAAAATGTTGAGTGCAGAGCAGAAAGACTACCTGGGGGGTGGCAACCCCCCCCCCCCCCATGTGCGGGCGAGGGTTAAACAACATGCCTGTTGGTAAAGCAACGGCAAAGTCACAAACGACTAGGAAAAATATTCACACATCTCAAATGCGCACAAAAAAAGGTATAAGAGCCACACACATGCAAATAGACTACAGCAGTCTCAACTAAAATAACGAAAGACGTTTGGAAAATGAGTAATTATAGGAATGCAGCATGATACATCGAAGTAACAAAAATGCATGCAAAACAAAATCAAAACAATCAGACCAGTTGCGTTGAGATGATTGTCATAAAATAGTAAAATAAAAATGAAGAAGCGGAAGTGAAAAATATTAACGTGCATAGACAGAGCACACAATAGAGGCGTGGATACCAAGCGACTGACTATCTAACGGCATGCGCCATCAAAGGTCTGCACTACTCGCAACTAAACAGGCGAAAAGGAAGACGCCAAACTTGCTCTCAGATCCACATCAGCTATAGAAATACGCAGACATTTTCTGCGATAGCCTCGGAGATGCGATCATCAAGAACTTCTGACAAACGCAGTGTTTCGCCATCGAACAGTGCGGTTTAGAGATTTGGCAGCAAGTTTCCCTATCGCCTTTTGGCCCGCTCACAGCCACAGCACGGCAAACGGCAAACGGCAAACGACGGTGCACTCACCCGCAGCATCTCTTCGGGCATCGCTTTGTTAACGGATCCCATCTGGCAGAGAGAGGCCAGGCGTCACACACGGAGGACATCGAGCCGCGGGGTGCGGGGTCAGACGTCGACCGACGCACGGCCGGACACGCGGACACTCAGTCATTGCACGCGGTCGGACACCCAGTAATAGCACGCGGTAGGACACCTAGTTATTGCACGCGGCCGTACACCCAGTAACCGCACGCGGCCATACACCAAAATATCGCACGCAGCCATGCACCCAGTTATCGCACGCCCCAGCAAAAGCATCCGACGAAGTCCACAAGAAACTTCGCAAAGACATCATTTATTACGTTGCGATGCATGTCTGCCGGACGGCACAACAAGGCATACACATAAACCAGCCATAGAGAACGTCGCGTGGCAACAGCCACACGACCTCGAGCAGTCGGCTCTGAATTACAAATGAGCTGCCGCAAACCCAGCCGGACACATACCAGCCGAAATTCCGAGGACCGCACATCCGAGACTCCTTTCACGTCGCTAATTATTACATAGTCCATCTTTTTTTTTTTGTCGTCAGCATCATGTTGAAGCATTCCATTACAGACTGCTATAGGCACTTAACACTAACGACGATGACAAATTGTCCTGTGCGACAGGCTATACAAGCAACCAGAGACGACTCGGGCCACTGGGACGCGACAGTTGATGATAGAATAGAGCGCACGCGATACAAGTACTGACTGAAACAGTCTGCACCATGCGTAGGAGCACAGACATCCGCCTTGGAGTTAGATGGTTCCAGGAGGCGCGTGGGGTCTCAGTGGGTGTAAGAGCGTCTTTCAGCTGAGGGCCAGTCCTAACCAAATCACTGTGGCTCCTTTCCTGGTCGATAGCGGGAAGGCAGAGCGAGTTATGAGAGCAGCGAACGGTTGTCCGTTTTGGAAGCAGTGCTGAGCAAATGTGAGTGCATGGCTGACATCTTCACCTAAATTCTGACATGCAAAACGCAAGCGTTACCGAAAGGTTGTGAAAAAAAAAAAACAATGACAAATGATCGCTACCAGATCACCCAAGCGCTCACTTAAAAAAAAAAACATTCAGGCATGACAACGAGCTTACATCACAGCTCTGGTATGAGAGTACCAGAATACCGACTAATATGCAACCCAGGAATAATGCAGACTGCACACTGCACAACCTATGTATGTCCTAACTACGCAGTCTGTGGCCATCCGCTATTCACATATCACGTCAGTTAACCGCCGGCCAGCGTCAGCCGTCGTCCATCCGTGACTCTATCCATGTATCTATCTTCGGGCCAGCCTAACCGGTCGCGGAAGTGTTCCCAGCCCTTCCGTACTCTGCCACCCACCCAGCCCACCGCGCAGCACTCGTACCGGGCCGCCGGCGCCGACCGCCGCCCGTCAGTCGCGGCCAACATGTCTCCCCAGCGGGCCATCCCATGGTAATCGGATCAGGCTCAGACAGACGAGAAGCCGGCCGGCTTTAAACGCCCACGCACACCCACTTACACCGACGTAAATAAATTACGACCGGCTTATATAAGGTGGAACGCATGCAGTACCAATGAGAAAACGCAGCTATTTTGCAAAAGGGAAGAGTCGGAAAAAGTCGAGATTATTAGAAACATTCCCGGGAGTAAAACAGAATTGTCGCGACATTTGCAATCTGCGCAATACAGGGGTGGCAACACATGCAATATGTGACGCTATGATCTACGTAAAACAGACCTCCACGATGCAGTCCTACACTACACTTGCATCAGGTTTTTCCGGTCTGCAAATCGTCTTGATATGAACACTCCTCACATTCCAATTACCATATCACCTCCTTCACAATCAGAATGACGATAGGTTCACACCACTCCTTATCATTTTCACCAATCCTACCAGTAATCCTCACACTAGCCGCAATCATCACAAACAATCAGCTCGCAATTGCCTCACTCGGCGAAAAACCCATAGCACAACACAGTTCCAAGCTCCCCGTATCACTCTGCCCACACATCCCCTTATCATTTCCCGCCGTGTCATTCACCAAGACCAGCCCCTCGGTCTCCCACACCCAGCGGATCTTTCAGTAGCAGCTCGCGCGGCCGCAGAGCCGTTACCCGCTCACCGAGCGTCCCACCGTTGCGTCAGCGGGCGCGGTACCGTCGGGAGTCGCGGTGCGGGCGTCTGGCCGCCCCAGACACACCAGTATCGGAGAGCAGCACACCGTAACATCCGGTGTGTCCGGCTCGGATGTCCAACCACGCCCGGCTCTCAGCCAACCGTGGTGGCGAGGCCGTACGGAGAGCCGTGGAAGCGACCAGCGCGGTGTGGACGGGATAGAACGTACACAGCGGACGGCATGTGGGACATGCTGTGGGGCTGTCTCACTAGGGAAAACAGTAGGAAACATTGTGGGAGCACGTCGTAAGAGCGAATCGTAGGAGCGCGCCGTATGATAGAGTGAATGTGAACATTACAGGAGCACTTTATTAGACACAAGGTGAGGCACACACTGTAGAGCAGGATATGGTGCAAGACCACAGACGCACGCAGTAGGAGCAGAAGATCGACTCAATGATAACCGACGCATCCCCACTCAGTGTTGGGCTATCTGTGCACACGCACCCGGATGGGTAGCAAAGCGGAAATGAACTACATCTCCTATCCCCACGGCCTGATACCATCGATTGTGGTTGCTTTCGTTATAACGATCACTTCATTCACTAACCGAGCTAGTGACTTACGAGTTCAACAATCCCGTAGCTGGATTTCAACAAGGTTCTAACAAATAAAAAGTCTGGCACTATCAAAATCAGCTCATCTTCAATGTATGACTTCAAACACTTCAGGTTTATAACATCTGTCAACAGTTTTTCCTTCGTAGCTCCAGCCTCGTCAGAAGCCCTATCTGCTTCCAAGCAGCTGGGAGCAGACCGCAACATCCTCCCTTCCGAGATACACCGAGTTCTCGGCAGAGACACGGCGGCGAGTCGTCCGGGCGTAGGTGAAGATAAGTACATAAACCTAGCTGGCAACAGCAGCACTGGATGGCCGTGGGACGGCCTATTGAGCAGGAAAAGGGGGATGACTCAGGGAGGGCAAAGTGTCAAGTGCTGAGGGCAGGGTGAAATGACATTCATTTTGGGGTTCGTTGGACCTGTTCTGTGATTGAGAAGCAGTTCGGGTGAGAAAGTCGTTCGTTACACAGAAATCCTTTCAGAAATTGCAGAGCAGGAATGGCGTTGCATAGGGCACATGAGTGCCTTTCTAGCTGTGAAACATTTTGATTGATAGAACTGATTGGGCCGAAGCGTCGGGGTGATACTCTGGAGAGAGCGGTGCAATAGAACACGTTGAACCTCTGAGGACTGATAGCAGCATCGCCCACGTCATTGGTCGGGGCTACTGAACACATCCAGTAAACGATGGCGACCACTCGCAAACGGTAAACGTAAACATTCCGAGCAAAAAGTACCAGATGCATAATGCAACCGCGCAGTTCAGTTTACAGCGCATCTACCAGGCAATGTTGCAGTCCCCGACAGATCTCAACTCACTACGACAACATCTCAACCATTTGCTTTTCAGTCTTCTATCGTGAAACTTCGTCAAACATCGCCGCAGTAGCCAATCGTAATTCATAAGCACATCATCATAACAGCCCTGCTAAGTTTCCACACAATCACCCCTACCAAGATTCCTTATAGGCCAACATTTCCTACAGCAAAGTCCCAAAGTCCGCGACCGAGACCGGTCGGCGGTTGGCCAAAAGTGACGCGACGCGCGGTCGGCCACGAGACGCGTGGCCGGGAAGGAGGGGCGCTCGACCCCAAGAAGGGACATACACACACTCCGTCCGGAGGAGGGCGCGGTCGGTCCCAGCAGGACCACAGGAGGGAACACACTCCGTCCGGAGGAGGGCGCGGTCGGTCCCAGCAGGACCACAGGAGGGGACACACATACACACACTCCGCCCGGAGGAGGGCGCGGTCGGTCCCAGCAGGACCACAGGAGGGGACACACACACACACACACACACTCCGTCCGGGAGGAGGGCGCGGTCGGTCCCAGCAGGACCCCAGGAGGGGACACACACACACACACTCCGCCCGGAGGAGGGCGCGGTCGGTCCCAGCAGGACCACAGGAGGGGACACACACACACACACTCCGTCCGGGAGGAGGGCGCGGTCGGTCCCAGCAGGACCCCAGGAGGGAACACACTCCGTCCGGAGGAGGGCGCGGTCGGTCCCAGCAGGACCACAGGAGGGGACACACACACACACACTCCGTCCGGGAGGAGGGCGCGGTCGGTCCCAGCAGGACCCCAGGAGGGAACACACTCCGTCCGGAGGAGGGCGCGGTCGGTGCCAGCAGGACCCAGGAGGGGACACACTCCCATCCCAGAGGAGGGCGCAGTCGGGCGCCGACTCACCTGCAGTAGCTGCTGCTGGAATGCGTCGTGTCGCGAGGCGTCGTGCCACGCATTGGCCATGTTGTTGGAGTCGGTGGAGCGAACCAGCGTTGGCGAGCCGCTGTTCACCTCAGCTGAAACACGGGGAAGAGAACGGTCAGAGCTTGGTTGGAGTGGGATCAGTGGATGGTCACCTCAGCTGAAACACGGGGACGAAAAATGGCCAGGATTTGGTCAGGGATCCGTGGGTGTCCACCTCAGCTGAAACAGGAGGGGCGGAGAACGATCGGAGCTTAGTCGGGAATCGGGATGGGATCCGTGGGTTATGAGTGAGGTAACGGTCGACATCGGTCGAATACAAGTGGGTATAGAGGAGTTATCAATCAGATGCCAGAAAACCGTTGGACGCTGGCCAATCATCAGGGAGGCGATAGATAGATAGTGAAACCGTTTCTGACACCATCATCAGAAAGGCATAAGTTATGGACACCAGCACCAGGCAGCGCCCACGGTCCATCGGGCACCAACCATTCGGCATTTACTAACGGAACTCACGGAAGGATACCAGTCCGCACTGTTACCGGTTGGTAACAGCACCAATCACAAAAAGGCAATGGTTCGTATTGTTACCTGTCGTTGACAGCACGAACCGGAAACTTTTCAGGTGTTGTTCTACGAGCAAACAACGCTCTCAAACCAGCCATTGCTAACGAACATGATAAATTAGTGACCACAACACAAAAGGCATCACTGACGAGAAACTAGGCATTAACAGCGGGAAGAATAATGACACAGTGACCAACTTTAGAAAAACGTTTGCGAATAAGTGTAACAATTGCTATTGTCTTTGCTTGTTTACTAGTGACAACGCTCATCAATCAACACTACGAAAGCTCATGTGGTTTCTGAAACCGCTGTAAGAATTTTAAAAATTTGACATCGCTAGTCCCGAATATCAGTTACATTTGGTTGGCGATGCATTAACAGTGCTGGGAATCACTAAAGAAGATGTCAGTGACTGCACCTATGGGTTCAACTTTCCTGGCATTGAAACAAACATTGAACTAACGTTATTATTTTGCTAACAAGCCTCTTCGAGCATCTCTACGTGATACGACTCAGCACAAGATCTTCTTTTTCACTAAGTCGCTGTAGCTGGTTTCAAGAAGTTCGAGCGTCATCTAAAACAGCCAAACTTCTCCGCTATCACTTAAACCTTAGACAACCCAAGCAGATGAACTTACGATGGACCAGCTTTAACGTGCCTGTCAGATCTCCGAAAGAAAACGTTTTACTTCTCCGATCGATCCAATGCCAGCGACACACGTTCAATGGCGGGACAGAAGCGGTTAGATCCGTGCCATCTGTATGATCTCGAGACCCAGCGGGTCGCAGTCTCCTCAGATACATCAACCGACAACCGCTCCATTTGAGACGTATAGCTCCCCATGGTCGGCTGTTCGCTGTTCCCGAATTCCTAACGCCAACGCGAAGCTATCAGGGACTTCATCTGAGTCGATATAAGAATAAATCCAAAAAGGAGGTTGAGGGAGGAAAGATGAACAGTTAGAACTTAGAAGAGCAAAAATAGCTCGCACAAGTCAGTCAATTTAAGGCTACTTGACCTCAAATCTACTTCCTTGCCAGAGGAGAAAAACAGCTTCCCACTAGCTACTCAGTCAGACGGAGATAAAATCGCACCAGAGCGGCTCGTCGTTAGGCTGACAAGCCAGGCCTATGTTGAGTTAGCTCTAGTCATGTGCTGTCACAAGTGGAAGAAAACATTCGAATCACGTCTCACGATAATCAGAAATTCGCTGACCAGCATAGTCAGCAGAAAGGACGAACAGCAACCTCTATATGATCGTGTTGCTAACCGTCTGAAAGTCTTCGCACGCATTTTGTGATTCACCGGAGCGGATTATTTTTAACCGGCTGGTAGAGCAGGCAGGTCCGACAAAAGCTCAAATCCGCCAGCCGATCCGGCCCCCGGGGACTCCGCCACTCACGGCCACAACACCAAATTGGCCGCGGCCGTGCGTTGCGCAACAATCCAGTTCGGCGCCGCCTAGCTACTCGCGACGGCCAGATAGGCCAGCGAACTGCCGCCAGTGACCGGGCCAACCGGCCGTACCTCACCAGCTCAGCTCAGCACGGGAGGACGGGGCGAGCAGGCCGGCTCGCAAAGCATCAAAACAAAGAGTAAAGCAAAGTTCACAAAACGAGCATGACATAGACACAAGCTGATGCAACAGCTTTGTCTATTTGGGAACAACAAACATGCGAAAAAGCTACAACTAAACGGTCAAGTTTTCTCACAGCGTGACCATCACGCCAGTGCCTTCCCACGGTAGGATCTGAGTGTCGATAGGCTCGCCGCAAAGTCACACGCCTTTAGACCGGCTCGGCTCCGGCGGTGGCGCGACGCAGGGAGGTCGTCAGCGCCGCCACACCAAGCGGTCCGTCCCATCTCTGATTACCATAACTCGTTGGGGAGTGTAGAGTGTGGAGTGGGGAGTGTGGAGTGTGGAGCGTGGAGTGGGAATGTGAAGTCACTCCTTTCCGCTGCCGCCGCCGTCCCCATTCCGGCCATCGTAACGGACACAGGCCATCATGGCAAGCGTTAGCAGCGAGGCCGGCAGTTTATCACAATTCACCGTCCGAGGTCTACCTCGCCGCATTTATCAAGTCCAATTATAATCGGCACTGGGAGTTGCACGAAAATTACATTTAATGGCGAGACAATGGCGCCGGTGCCGAGCGCTGACGCCTTATGAAGAAGCGGCCATTTCCGCGCGGTTGTTTCGATTTGTAGATGACAGGATCAGGTCCGGCATACTGCCACTCTGTCGCTAAGCATTACAATAAGTTGTAAATAAAGGGAAGTCAGCGGACCGAAACATAGATACATAGTGTCGTGGGAAGACGAGCGTGATCTATGGCGTGCGAAAACGCACAACGCTGGGTCTACGAAAAGGTAAAACAAACCGTAGGCAAACAGCGATAGAAATGAAACTAATAAGCTATCGGTACACAAATAAAACTAATGAAATATAGAAAAACTAATTTCCACTTACGTTTCGGAGGCAGGTGGGTGAATGCAGAGTTGATTTCCATCATAGGCGATTTACGCGCGGACGTATCTGCAAACAGAGACACAAAGTTTTAACGAAAGCACTGGCAAACAGCCTGAGCTGTGTATACTCATAACCACTTACATCCGAACAGAATTAAGCCAGGTATTTCAAAAACTCCACGAACCAGTGTTTCTATCCAAATAAAGTTATAATATCATTCCAATAATTTCCAAATATATGATCGGGGACCTTGTTTGTGCCTGCTCAGGTGTGCGTTACAGACTGAGGCGGTATCCGTCCGTTCCAGGGCTTTAGCAGCAGTCCCGAACTGTCCTTCCTAATACGGTGCCGGGTAGTCTGGGCAATCAAGACCAGGGCATTCAGGGAGGCCAGGGCAGTCGGGACACTCCGCGTTCTTCAGGTTTATCAGTCAGGGCGGTCGGGGCAATCGGGGCTGCCCAGGAAGCCGGGGCAAACAGGACAGCCAGTTTTCCCGAGAAGCCAGAGTGGGGCTTCCACTCCAACTCGACAGTGATGTAGGTGCCGGCTGTATTTGGCAGTGAGCGGAGCGCCGGTTCTGACCTGACCGCCGGGCCTGGAGTGTAGTGACTCACTGTCCAAATCGTCTGAGTGACGTGCCGGGGCATTGGCGAATCTAGAAATCTCCCCCTCCCCCTCCCGGAGTCTCAGACGTTGCAGGGCAGTGGTACAAGGTTTGACCACGCCGGTGAGCACGCTACACCGCCCTCATCCCACGCGCTGATCACTCGGCAGGCACGCTAAACTGGCGAGTTCTGCTGACGAGGTCATACCCAGCCTTGATGTCCACCAGACACCTCCGAGGGTCCACCAAATGCCACCATGACCAGTGTCGGCCAGAAATTAATGAAAATGTTCCTCAGACATCTCTGCGAGTGCCACCCAGACATTCCATTTAGAGTCCGCCAGACATCAAGATGCGAGTGTCCGCCAGACATCTGCGAGTGTCCGCCAGACATAAAGATGTGAGTGTCCGCCAGACAATACAGCGAGTGTCCGCCAGACATCAAGATGCGAGTGTCCGCCAGACATCAAGATGCGAGTGTCCGCCGGCACCGTCGCAGAGCGGATTGTCTGTGTAACGCCCACGTGACACATGGGAACGAGGTTCACGATTCGCCGCGCCGACATGATTTGATGGTGTCGGAAAACGACGCGGGGGCTGAGACAATAATATGAAACACCAGCGGATTACATCCACTAATGGCCGCGTTACCTCAGCCAAAACGAGTGTGACGGGACTGGTACGAAAACCAGTCCCGGATTTTCCATAGTTCAAGACGAATTATTCAGAAAAGAGCCGACCGTTAAAAATCGGAACAGTTTATGAAGCAACTCTATGATCAATCAAAGGGACCCTCCCACCTTAACATTAGATTTGAGTTGAGATAGCCAAAATGGGGTCCCTGGCTCACAATTACCGGTTTCGGCACTCACAACATCGAGAAATGCCTTAAATCGGAAATATTGAATTTCAAAATTGCAGCATTTTGATTCAGAGGGGCTAATGCATAGGAATACCCCTCTGAATGTGTGATGTCAGCGCAGATATCTAACGATTTTTAAATGTTTGACTAAAACGTTTTGTAGCACGCGGTGGTATATGCTGCTTTGCGCGCAACAAATGCCGCACTTTCAAATAAAGTCGCTAGGAACAGCGGAGATCCCAAAAAGTAAACAAAAGTAAAAGTCTAATATCTTGAAAACCGGTGAATATTTTTCGATGAAATTTGGTAGATATTCGTTTTTGCTCTTTCTGAACCGAGCGACATCACTTTCATGCCAATTCATTAACTTTTTTGAAGGTGGGAGGGTCCCTTTAAGTACATGGCTGATGAGTGATGAGTGTAGTCAAACATATAACATGCAGAACAAATAAAGTGTTAGCGCGTCCTGATGACAAAACTGAAGTTGGTCGGCCCAAGTCTGATCACTAAAGTTTCACGTGTGATTGGTTCCTACAGGCATCGTTTGTAAGACTGGCGTGGCATGAACTACAATACATTCCACACCGCAGCACATTCAGCACATTGTCTTACGAGAAACTACAAAACCCAAGCTTTGTTAAAAGTCCACAAATGGCATTGTCAAATAAATCAAGAAGTGTACTTTGTAGGACTACGACTCACAAATGTCAATAACTCATGTTTGATCTTAGCTCGCCGTGACTGTGCAAGTTTTCCTCTATTTATATCTCAGGCCCTATCGTGCTAAACTTAGCGTGCATAACTGACTGGTCGGTCATAAAAAGAAAACGAAGTCTGGAGATGCCAAACCACGGTCCATTGCATTCCAGGCAGAGTCGGTGCATTTATCAGAATCTCGCTAAGTAAACAACCAGGTACTTGGACAGATTGGCCAAGGTTATACCTGCCAAACTGATATGCTACAGCTATTCGATAAGCTATTTTTAGTTGACCTCGACCTTCGCTTGAGTCACAACTCATCATTAATATCAAGTTATTTTTACAGGAGCTATACGGAAATGTGTTTAACTTGCAAACAGAAGATTAGCGTTAAATCCTTAACGTGTCCTTGCATAGTTTTAGGTAGAACTTCATAGAGATGGTAAATTATTCAGAGCACTTAGATACACATCATAATTAAAGGTGCAATCGTAGGCCTCATGATTTAAGGGTGGTTTAAGGGTGGTTAAAAGAAATGTTGAACACTGCATGCTGAGCTGGTTAACCCGCGCCCGGCTGGGGGTCCTGGATTTCCACGCCCTGCTGGGGGGGGGGGGGTGTTTGAACACACACACACCCTTGTAACTCGGCTCCTGGGCCACGTAGCGATACGCGGAAGGCGGCGTTCGAAAGAGCGTCAAAAATAATGACGAAATCACTTCGGTCATTTTTTTGGTCAGGTCAAAGGTCAGGTCACCAGAGGTCATTGAAGGCAAAATTTCGCCGATTTCCAGGTCGAATGTCGAAAATTTCCAAGAAGCCAACGCATAACTCGAGAACCAATAGAGCTACAGCGCCGCGGAAAAACGCATTCGATAGCCCTATTAAAGCCCTTTCTGAGTAATTCTCTCAGATTTGACCTAACGTCAACGGTTTTGCCTGCAGGGGGCAAAAACTGCAAAAATAGCCGATTTTTTCGGAAACAGTTTTTCTGCAATAACTTTTGACCCAAGCCTTGTACGAGCTTACTTTTACCGGCATTGTGTTCCTCTCGTCAAGACGCATCGAATGAACTATAAGTTGACCTTGAAAGGTCAACTTGAAAATTTGACCTCAGGTCAAGGTCATGACCTGACCGGAAAGGGTCATGTTGCATATCAGTCGATCCGTATCGTCGAGCTGAACACATCTAAGGCGTTTTCATCGCTCTAGCATGCCTCTATCAAAAGTTATTTGCGAAAAACTGTTAGATACCATTCGTGACCTAAGATGACCTCAGGTCATAAACAAGGGTCACGGACACCATTTTCATGTTCAGTGTGTCTAAAACACTTGTAATTCGGTGTTTGGGAGTGTTTACAATGTCTTTTGTCCAAAAGAGACGCATTTCAATTTTCTCCCATTGACTTATAACGGGGAGGTCGCAAAATTGACCTGACCTTAGGTCATCGATATCAAAATTCTGAGATATACATTTTGTACATGCTATTGCTCTTAGCAATCGCTGAAAGTTTCAAAGCGATCGGTCACTCGGTGTAGCTATGACAGACATTGAAACTGTTTATGAGGTGAGGTCACTTCAAGTGACCTGGTGACCTGACCTTGAATGACCTTGGTCTGAAATTTTCACGACATGTGTAGAATTGATGTATGATAAGGTGTACCGAGATATTCGCGAAAAAACACAAGGGGGGTGTTCAAACCCCCCCCCCCCCAGCAGGGCGCGGGTTAATACTGCTCAAAAATTACGATGTACAAAATCACAACACTATCGCAACCGTCATGCATGGTGATTGTTGCTTCACGTGAAAGAAGGCGCGGACGAATCGCTGGTGGCAAAAGGCAGCGATGACACCCATTCTAAAAAGTAATTTTTTACCTCAACGTCATGGCCAACCAAATGTCATCAGCTGAATGGGAAGCTAAGATTGCACATGAGATCCCTTTCACACAAAAATCGGCAAGCAAATCTGGTAAATGTGGTCTCCAAGTGGGTTTTAAGTAGCTTATGTCCGACAAACATCACAACACGGCGTAAAACGCGTCAAATAAAACGTCACCCACCAATGAAAGCCCGGATTACACCGTTGAACGTCCACCAATGAGGCGAATACCCGGAAATGTTCTTCGAGCCACAAGGCGATTACCAAGGCGATACTGCCAACAGCCTAACGCTTGGACATTGTCGAACAGGCTCGTCGCCAAATCGGCAAGTGTCACGGCCTTTTGACATTTCTACGCATCGAGTTATACGCCCACGCTCGTTGTCCTGTTTCAGCTTATCCAAGACATTGATCACCACATGGCAGAATTATATGCAACTGAATGCAGTTGTGATCGGATGTGCGGCTTGATGCTTTGTCGCACGTGCTGCGAACGACAACGCCCAGAATAAACACAAAACAAACGACTACACACCACCGGTGCGGACCCAAGTGGTCAGACATGAAGACTTGCGAGACGGTATGGCTCCGGTCCGACTCAGTTTCACGCCACCATTCCTGCAGTCTGGCCGATGTAACCCGCACCTCCATCAGCCGTAACTGCCGGCCGCACTGCCCACGGGCACCGCGTGACCTGCCGCGCGGTCAAGGTCATCACAAGCACCAATGGCAGGCGCCGCCGCGCGCGGTGCCGCCGTACGTCACCATTTACGATCCCCGTTCCTCTCGGCGATCGGAGCGCGTGTCTTCCACGAAACGGTCTCCGGGGCCGGCGGCGACAGGCGGAGGCGAGCAGGTGGATTGGGTGAGCGGGTTACTGAGCGCGCTCGGCCCTCGGGGCCCAGACCGGTCCGGAGGGCCGCTTTAGAAGACCCATCAGCCGGCCTGTCGGTTCCGGGCGTTCAGTTAACGCAAATAGCCGACTACAGGACCGCTACTCTATGATAGAGCAGTCAGC